TTTAAAATAAGATGTTTATCCGTAGTTAGTTACACGAATTCAAACATATAGTTTTAATAAGTTGTACTTATTAATAATTTACTTGTAATATTAAATTTTAAGTAATATGCATCAATAAACAATATTTCATGTATAAAAAAATAATTTTTAAGAGTTTTTGTCAAATGCTTTATAATATTATAGATAATTTTCTTATAAAGATAATAATTAATTAGTTTGTTAAAACTTGATAATTATTCTAATTATACTTTAAAATGAGATGTTTATCATGTATTTGACTATATTTATCCACAGTTAGTTACACGAATTCAAACATGAAGTTTTAATAAGTTGTACTTATAAATAATTTGCTTGTAATCTTGGATTTTAAGTAATATGCATCAATAAACAGTACTTCATGTATAAAAATGATTTTTAAGAGTTTTTGTCAAATGCTTTATAATATAATGTATATATGTATATATATATAAAATACATCACAAACAAAGAACAATTAATAATTCTTTTACAAAATTTTAATACGTTTTTATTATTCATCAAATTAAAAAAGTTCTTTTAATTACATAACAAATGGTACATTTTCTTAATTATATGAACAAATATGCAACACATTTTTAAAATAAAACTTTAAAAAAAGAAATTAATTTATTTTTTTAAACAAAATCGAAACACTCATATTTTCTGGTTTTTGCATGTTCCCTTTCAAATATTAAAATATCAAGGAAAAAAAAGAAATTAGAAACCACTCAAATTTTAGTAATAGAAAATAACGGTTTGGATTTGAAAAAGTCAAATACGCAGGGGGGTATTAAGAAATTCAAGAATAGTTTAGGGGGTGAACTGCAATAATTTAAGATGGTTAAGAAAAGGAACACTTGTCACCGCCACTTATGCATAAAGTTGCCATACATACGCCATTTTTGGTTTTGTAAAGCGTTCACTTTTCTCCTAGATCGGAGCTTCTTCTTCCTCCATTGTTAATCGAGCATCAAATTCTCTCAGAATAATCGGTATGTTTATCATCCATCTCTCTCTCTCTCAATGCTTCAGTGTTTCTGTATCTGTTTGATCGTTTTAGATCGCAATTTGCGAATCATTGTGGAAGTGATCATACCTGTAGCTCCAATCAAAATGTAGGGTCGTAATCCGGAACCTAAATCACAGTTTCGACGTTGAATTTCTGTGAGACGGCATGTAATTTAGGCTTTCTTAATTGTTTCGTGTGTATGTGTGTGTTTTTTTTGGTTGATACATACGAGTTACGATGCCGTTAATCGATATTCCGTTATCTATGTAAACGTAATCCATGTGTTTCAATATTCTCCATCCCAAAATGAAGAGATGCATATGGACTTTGTGATCAACTGGAATCTGGACTTCAATTTGTTTACAGGACCTTCAATAGAATTTTGGTGACTGTGTTACACTCTAGATGCTATAAATCGAGTCATTTAGTCGTGAGTTATGTCAATCATATAGACCGATGATTCAATTAGGTTTTGGGAGCAAAAGTTAGAATTGGATCAATTTACCTGTATCTGAAAACCTAGCAACATTATACTAATTTATAACCCCAAGGTTATGGAAAATGAAATGCAACGAACACACACTTTTCACCCCAACTCTCACACAGGGAACGCGTATTAGTTTCGTCTTAACTAGCTGTGCGTGATACAGCGTGATTTACATTTTATGGTTTTATCCGATGGTGAAGGAATATTTCGATTTTTGAATGAAGGAGAGATTGGGATATGGAGGTTTTATAATGTTACAATAAGTTGTACCTAAGCAGTATTAGCTCGCATCCTTGAATTATAGAAGGGATATGTATTAATTAACGATACGATGATGTTTGTGCAGATTTGAGGTTTAGAGATCAGAAGGACAAGCAGGTAACAGGTGGTTTGTTTCGATGTCTTCAAGCACTATTAGGAAAGCGATTGGGGTGGTTAAAGACCAAACTAGTATTAGTATAGCCAAAGTGGCAGGCAATGTAGCACCTGATCTTGAGGTGCTCATTGTAAAAGCAACAGGCCATGATATTGAGCCTGCTGAAGATAAGTATATAAGGGAGATCCTTCACCTTATATCTCAATCTAGAGGATATGTGAGTGCATGTGTTTACAATATTTCAAAGCGATTGAGCAAAACCCATGATTGGGTTGTTGCATTAAAGGCCTTAATGCTTGTACACAGATTGTTAGTTGATGGGGATCCGGTGTTTGGTCAAGAGATGATGTGTGCCAGCCGAAAAGGGACCAGGGTTTTGAATATGTCAGATTTCCGTGTTGAGGCTCTTTCCAATTACTGGGATCATTCAGGGTTTGTGAAAAATTACGCCATGTATCTTGACCAGAAGCTTGAATTCATAGCATTCGAACGAAAACTAAGTGCTGTTAATGACAGGTATGGGGACTTTAGAGAGGAACCCGGTTACGGAATTAGTCATAAGTCAAAATCTTATGGTGATTTATACGAATCAATAGTACGAGGGGATAGAAAAGACATAAAAGTGGCAACTCCAGTTAGGGAGATGAAGCCGGATAGGGTTTTGGAAAGATTGAATAAGCTGCTTCGGCTTATTGATCGTGTCTTATGTTGTAGACCTGCCGGAAGTGCAAAAAGTAGCAGAATGGTGCTTGTTGCACTGTACCTTGTTTTGAATGAAAGTTTTCGTATTTATGCTGATATATGTGAGGCACTGGGAGTTTTGCTTGATAGGTTTCCAGAAATGGAGTATGCTAACAGTGTCAAGACTTTCGATGAATACGTTAATGCAGCTAAAACGATCGATGAGCTTGTGGATTTTTACTCATGGTCAAAGGAGTTGGGAGTCGCTAGAGCCGCAGAGTTCCCAGAGGTGCAAAAGATTACTGATAAGGTTTTGGGAACACTAGAGAGATTTCTAAGAGAAAAGAAAAATAAGCTCAAGAAAAACAAGGAAGAAGGTTCATCACCGAATATGAATGGCAACACACCACCATCTGGGGGCCAAGCAATTGGAGACCTATTGAATTTGAAGGATGATACGGTGCCAGCTGATGATCATCGGAATACATTGGCGCTTGTCTTGTTATCTGGACCACCGAGTGCAGAGGGTAAAGGGTCATGGGAGGTTTTTTCGAACGGAGAGAATGAAAAGACGTCTGCATGGCAGACACCGGTGGCCGAGAGTGGAAAAGCCGATTGGGAACTGGCGTTGGTGGAATCCGCTAGTAACCTACCGAAACAGAAGGCTAACATTGCGGGTGGCCTTGATCCTGTAATGCTGAATGGCATATATGAGCAAGGGGGAGTGAGTTATAATCAGGTCGGTGAAGGAAGTACCAGTAGCATGGTGACATATGGATTGGGGAGAAGTGCAACACCTGTGTTAGCATTGCCTGCACCTAACGAAACCGTACAGCCAGTGGACCCACAAGATCCTTTTGCAGCATCGCTCATGGTCCCACCTCCGCCATACGTGCAGCTTGCTGACCTGGAGAAGAAACAGAGTTTTCTTGCACAGGGACAACAAGCATGGCAACAATATGGAAATGGAAGCAATACTACGATGGGAAAGATCAATGCTGGTGTTGCTACTTACAATGGCATGGGACAACAAGCAGGGTACAACTATGCACATTATTGATCAATTTTTCTTCATATTATGTTTTGATGCTCGATTCTACAGAGGAATTTTCTAAAAAAAACTATTTTTCAACTCGTTTTACATCTTTGAGTTGTGTAAAAAGATATTTGATTCCCTAAATAAAATTTAAGCGGCATCATTTTGGCCGGTTTCTAACATAAACATAGCATTATGATTTATTAGAGTTTTTGGTCATTGTTTTTTTAAGATCCCATCAGTTCTATTATGTTTGATTCAATAGGAAAGTTACCTCAATCTGTAGGATAGCAAGACCATAAAAAGAAAATCTATTAGATATATCAAGAATGGTACAATAAACTATCACATAAGTTGAAGCTTTAAAAAGACCATTTAAATCTACTTTTCATCATTTTCTTTCAGAAATTTGGTATTCAGTTTTGACCTGTCAATATTGAGGCTGCAACGCTCTTCAGCGATTCATAAGCTTCTTGCAGATCAGATTCTGTGTGAGCAGCTGAAACAAACAATCTGATCCCAACAGGCAGATTGCATTTGTCAAGAGTCGATCTTTTAGAAGGTGCCACGAAAACCGAATGTTCTTTCAGTACCTGCAATACCTTCAGCTTCTGAGTTAACTAAAACACATCATAATATCATATAACAAGTAATATTTCATGTTGCAACTTCCATCAGCAGCTTCCTTTTATCACATGGGTTGTACAGTACAACTAATCTGCATCCTGGCAAGACTTTTATACTATCAATCAGTAAATTTAGACTTACACGATCAGCAATATCTTGAAGCAACTGAAGATCATTCTTCAAGGATCCTGTGGATTTCTTTAGTATAAGGAACACAATAGGTGACAGTATATCGCTTGCAATTTCAAGGCCCTGTATTCCCAACAATCCTGCAAAATATAAAAACATTAGATAAGAACCAAAGTCATATTGTATTATAAGTTATAGTGAACAATGTAAAACCAGACGGCTCTGAATCATCAAATCTGGTTCGAAGATAGAGTAATAAATCATAGCAATGGAGACACAAACCTGTACATAATGTTTTGACATTATCCCTTAACTTTGTTAAAAGTTGAGGGTTTTCCTCTATGACATCAATGGCGGTAATTGCAGCACTTGCCAAGTATGGTGGCAGAGATGCTGAGAAGACATAACCAGAGCTGCTGAGGCGCTACATCAACATAAAAGACAGTTGATGAGTTTTAGAACCATGAACCCTGAAAAAGTAAGCTGTACTCCCTTTGACCCACAAAAACTAGAATATCTTTCTGGAAAGATTTCAGATCATCATCGTTTACAAATAAATGCCGTTGAATCGTTCATCAGGGTGATTCCGTTATTGGGATTTTAAATATTTGGCATATAAACAAATACTTTCCGTAAATTAATGGATAAGGACTTGTTAGGGTTCTTTGGTGAATGAGCTTTCAATTAGGAACATGACCTTCTATATATTTTCTTTTAACTCAATGACCTTCAACTGACCTGTCCGTGGTGTTAGAAATGAACAGCCCGCCTCTGATGTAAATCAGCCTGCCTCGAAAAAACTTAGAAATATACTGGAGGGTCATTTTTGAAAAACGAGCTTCTGAAGATGATCATTGAGCTAAATAGCCCTTTTATAGAACAGCAAAAATTTGCTATTTATAGTATTGCCAATCTTAGAGTTGAATGCAGTTTATTTGTCTATTAACAGTCAAATGTCTACTTTTAGTAGTTCTGGATCAGATATGCTTACTTGGTGATCGACAACTCTATTACTTCCAGTGCAAAATCCACCTTCTGAGGCCAATGCATGTCCCATAGCAGCAGTTACTATATCTACCTTATCGATCTATAACAGTCACATAAGCATCAAAGCATATAACAAAATATTGAGCATCGAAAAGGACTTGAAGAGAGAGAGATGAAACATACAGGAACGTTGTAGTGTTCAGTTAGACCTCTACCAGATTTGCCAAGAACACCAAAAGAGTTGCTTTCATCTAAAAGAACACGAAACCGGTACTTCTCCTTCAGTCTGATTATCTCATCCAGTGGAGCAATTTGACCAGAATTCTGAACATTTCAGCAAAACTTATGTTAAACATCAAATTAATTCTCTCCCTCAAATAAAAAGAAAAGCAAAAATAAGAAAATAGTTGCATGCTCCTTGGTGCCTAAAATAAATGATCAAACATAAAAGTAAGAAACTATTTTAGGTTTTTAATGTTGGGGTTGCCGGTATTTGCGTATTTAGTTTTCTTATAATCTATCATTTTTACCCTTAGAAGAGGGGGTAAATGTCAATATATGAATTCCAATTCTCAATCAAATGAGAATAAAGCACACTTGATTAGAAATACCTGGTACACAGATTCAACCACGATGTAGCGTCTCAACTTCTTAGCTCGCTTGTTGTCTTGAGTGACTTTTTCTAGGGTACTTCGCAGAGACTCCATGTTGTTGTGCTTAAAGTATACAATCGTACTTCTTGACAGATATAATCCATTCTGTATGCCCCAGTGAACACCTTCATCTCTGAAACAGACAAGTTATTATAAATAAAGCTTTGGCATAGATATTTGTGATTTCCAAACTTTTGACATGAAATGACCTGTTTGACCCAAAAGTCAAAACTTATAACTAGTTTCAGAACAAAAGTAGTGCAATTGAGTAAACAGCAGTATGTCATATAGAGACTATATATTTATACTCACACAATAACAATATCTCCTTTCTTGCAAAATGCTGGAATTGCACTGAACATAGTCGAAAGTCCATACGAATAGAGTATGGAATCAGGAGTTCCCAGAAACCGTGCTATTCTGGCTTCACAGTCGAGGTGAACATCTAAATAGGCAAAAATAAAATCAAAAGAGTGTCAGTAGTGATTATCTAAATGTTCATTACCATTTAGCTATTTGCATCATAAGTAGCTATTTGTACCAATTGTTCCATAAAATCCACGAGGGCCACAAGAACCAACACCATATTTCTCCAGAGCAGAGATGCATGATTCCTGCAATACTGAATTTGCATAAATGAAACCACTATAGTAAAGCGACGAGCAAATAAAGTATGAGGGTGGTTTTTCTCACAAGTAACTTCTCATGTCCCATCAATCCTAGGTAATTCGCTGAAGCAAAATTCACCACGTCTATGCCATTAATTGTTGTATGTGGTCCTGCAGCACTGGATGTAATGCAACTGTTATGACCACATATGCATGATATATGAAAGAATGCAAATCTGAATCTTGCTGGTATAAACAAATTTCAGCATACTGAATGAGCTAGTCATGATTAGGCAATTTCCAAAAGATTTGTAGGGGGAAACACTATAAGAACATTCATACTTTGCCATCAACAAGCTTGGTATCTGAAATCGCGAGACTGGATAAAAGACAACTCCATCTGCTTAAATGAAAAGCAGTATATGGTCTTGAGTCTTGACAACGAAAGTAAAAGTATATAGCCTGTTTTAAAAAGGTGGAAGTAAATATTTTGGACTCTTGCAGCCAATGGAGAATGCCAGTAGAGAAAATCCATATCAGTATGTATGTATGTATGTATGTATGTATGTATGTATGTATGTAAGCATGTTGATCTATGCATATGCATGCATACCTCTCCAATACTGGAGCTTCCTTTTCCATCTCTTCCTTTATAGGTGGGATAAGAGACTCCGGTACCCATTCATCACATAGCTCGTCTATTTCCTACAAACATCAGACTAACACATTTATCAGATTTCTCCAACAAAATATAACTGCAAGTTAGATTAAGAAATCATCAAATGAGACATCAACTTAGAAAATGAACTTGAACCTTATTTGTTAAAGGGCGCTTAGGTGGCTTATAACTCTTTTGAGACAGTAAGAAGAGAATAACTACCAGGAGTAGACCTTCCACAAACAGATGACCTATGGTATAAAGAAAAGAAAAAGTCGATCTATGTATCAAAAGTATATCAGGATTGATTAATAAAGAACTCTGTTAAGATGTTCCATGATTTGAAAAGCCGTACCTCCAATGGGAACTCCAAACAAAACAGCTCGAGCAAAAGGGGCATCATATGCAAATGTCACCCAATCAGACGCATTTTTCATGTAATTCATGAAGGTTGTAGTAATGTTGTTTGACAACTCCATTTCGTATGTACTATAAGCAACCAGAAAGGGCTCAGAATGACAATCACAGAGTATACCTATCGGGATTCTTGATCTAAAAAATGTAAATAAGAGAATCAAAATGACAAGGGAAACCCGTAGAGCACGGAGGATCATGGGATATTGTATGAGCATGAAAATGATCATCATTTAAGACACAGAGTGATCAACTTTTTTAACCATTATAGTTCCTTGTTTGCCATAAACAAAGCATCATCTTGCATAAAAGCAAAATGATCACCAAAATTGCTTTTCCTTAAAGAGCACCAAAAGCTTCATGCTAGATATCTAAATGATAACAAGCATGTTCAACTATAAGGCAATACGGAACAGGTTCAGTTCTTCATAAGGAAAAACAGAACATAAAGGAGAAGCATAAACAAATACAGAATCCTCAAATTCAGTCACACACAACAACAATCACAAACCATATCGTCTAAAAAAGTTCATGAACTTACAACAGATAACAGAACTAATTAGTAATCGAAGTAGAACGACGAACATACAAATTATGCAATTACAGTTGGAATTTTTTTCAAAGTGGATTACTTGATTCAGGTGGAAATTTCTCAGTTGTTTAATTAAGATTGATACTAGTAACCATAATGACACTTCAAACATAGTAGAGAATTTTCTGAATTACCTGATCTGACTAAATGCGTGACGAATCGATCGAAGGATTATAGCAGATCTAGAAGCGCCTGTTTGTTTCTGATGCAGAATACAATACCTTATGTCTCTAAGAATCAATCACCGAATTCAGATTAAGAACCCTAATTTAGCGTGATCATAATTGGAAATGAAAATGAACAGAAAGGGGGAAGACAGAGGAAGAGAAGAAAGGGTCTCTCCAATGGCGTCGAATGTCTACTGGGAATTTTATTTGAATGATGAAGATTTAATTTGAGTGGCAATTATGTAAATATCCATAAAATCGAGGTCAAGGCTTTTGTAGTGAAAACATATGCCGTCTGTTTTCACGTGAAAAACACGTGCGCAGCTTCATAGACGGTGCTGCCGCTCCACAGCTTCACTTTGAAACCGGTGGCGTAAAACAATGGCGTCGAACGTGGTGGTGGTTCTCGACAACGGCGGCGGCCTGATCAAGGCAGGTATCGGCGGCGAACGTGATCCGACGGCCGTGGTTCCAAACTGCACTGCTCGTCCGCTTTCTTCCAAGAAATTTCTACTAGCGGACCAACTTCTGTCTCCAACGGAAGACCTAACCTCCGCCGTACTCCGCCGTCCCTTCGACCGCGGTTACCTCATCAACCAAGAGCTTCAATCTACCATCTGGTCGCACATCTTCTCTTCTCTCCTCCATATTACGCCTTCCTCCTCCTCACTCCTCCTCACCGAACCCTTATTCAACCTCCCTTCAATCCAACGCGCCACCGACGAAATAGTGTTCGAGGAGTTCAATTTTAAATCATTGTTCGTCTCGGATTCACCGTCTCTGGTTCATTTGTATGAGGCTAGTAGACGCCCTTACGACGTTGTGTCGAAGGCGCAATGTAGCCTTGTGGTGGACGTAGGGTTTAGTTTCACTCACGCGGCGCCGGTTTTTCAGAATTTCACGGTGAATTATGGCGTTAAGAGGATGGATTTGGGCGGGAAGGCGTTGACGAATTACTTGAAGGAATTGGTAAGTTATCGGTCTATCAATGTGATGGATGAAACTTTCTTGATGGATGATGTCAAGGAGAAATTATGCTTTGTTTCAACCGACGTTGCTCGAGATTTGCAGATCGCTAGGTAAGAAGTTCATTCTTTGTGAGTTTCTGCAACAATGTAATCAGCGTTTATTCACTTTGATTCATTGTTGGTTGATTTGGGATAATTTGGTAGATCATTTGTGACACAAGATGCAGCTGGGTTGTTTTTCTATGCAATAACATTGTTCTTGACATTCTACATTTTTATAGTACTTCCCAAATAAAGATAAACTATCTCACTTTTGAGGTCAAAGTGATTAATTTTCAAGTCCAAAATTAATGGGAGTTCTTCCATTTTTCTGTACTTTTTGATAACTTGATTTCATTTTATATAACGTTTTCTATGATTAGAGAACATTTGGTGTAATTTCTGTTTAGCATAACCCATATCAGTTTGACTTTCAAAGCAATAAATTTGACTTCAAAAGTCAGATTGCAAGTTCTTGAATATCTGGTTGTAAAAGCAATTTACCTATTACTATGTATTATTGAAATGATTTTACATTAAGGTATATGAACCAAGTACTGAATCTCTCTTATTGATACTATGCTATATCTTCATCCTGCTATCTTCATTTTGTTCTCATTTACAGGAGACGTGGAAATGATAATTACTTTAGGTGCACATATGTACTTCCTGATGGTATCACACATACAAAAGGATTTGTAAAAGACCCTGTTGAAGCCCAAAGATGGCTTACGTTATCTGAGGATGGTGAGCTCCCGCACTTGGCAGGAACTGATGAAGCAGATCAAACGGAAGTTAAAAGCAAACCATCAGAAAGGAATAAAGTTGATCTTACGAAAAATGTATTATATTTTCTACACTTTGTCTATAGATCAGTTTTATATTGATTATACCACTTAATAGCACTTTTACGTATCGAAAAACAGGAATTCAGCTTGAGCAATGAGCGCTTTCTTGTCCCCGAGATGATCTTCCGTCCTGCTGATTTGGGTGTGTTGCTTTGATATGTTCTATTGGACAGGGAAGAGATTCTTCAGGTTGTTAGAGTTAAAAATTATCATGCGATTGTGAATGAATGCAGGAATGAACCAAGCTGGACTGGCAGAATGTATTGTCCGTGCTGTTAATTCTTGCCATCCTCATCTTCATCCTGTGCTGTATGAAAGGTAGTTGCATGTTACAGTATTAATTGATCAAGGAGAGTAGCATTCTACCCTTTTATGTGGTAATCGCTATTCATTAGGTCATTTAATATATTCATTTTCTGGATCTCACTTATCTAAGAAAATGAAAGATGTCATGAGGGTCCCCTACATTTTGCCTTCTACCCGTTTTTAAGGGTGTTTTTGGTAAACAAACAGGAATGGAGTGGATTGGATGGGTGAGAGCGAGGTAGGCGGGTGATGGGTACTATTGCATGTTATAGTATTAATTGATCAAAGAGAATAGCACTCTATTCTTTTATGTAGTAATTGCTATTCATTAGGTCATTTAATAAATCCATTTTCTGGGTCCCACTCATCTAAGAGAATGAAAGATGCCTTGAGGGTCACCCAAATTTTGTCTTCTACTTGTTTTTTATGGCTGCGTTTGGTACTCAAATGGGAGTGGACTGGGCGGGCTAGAGTGAGGTAGGCAGGTGAAAGGTAGTGTTGCATGTTATAGTATTGATTGATCAAAGAGAGTAGCATTCTATCCTTTTATATGGTAATTGCTATCCATTAGGTCATTTAATATATTCGTTTTCTGGGTCGAGAATGAAAGATGTCATGAGGGTCCCCCCAAGTTCTGTCTTCTATTTTTTTAAGGGCGCGTTTGGTATGCAAAGGGAAGTGGACTGGACTGGACAGGCAGTGAGGTAGGCGGGTGAAAGGTAGTGTTGCATGTTATAGTATTGATTGATCAAAGAGTAGCATTCTATTGTTTTATGTGGTAATTGCTGTCCATTAGGTTATTTAAAATATTCCTTTTCTGGGTCTCACCTATCTAAGAGAATGAAAGATGTCATGAGGGTTCCCCAAATTTTGTCCTCTACTTGTTTCATAAGGGGCGGTTGGTATACAAACGGAAGTGGTCTGGATAGGCAAGAGTGAGGTAGGCTGATGAAAGAAATGTGGAAGGTTTTAGGGTTTTAATTTGACATGGGTAGTTTCATAATTTACCAATCTTGTGTCATCTCCCAAATTTTTGTTCCACCTGTTTTAGTGGGACAAAAAATGTGTTTTTATCCAAGAATCATTCAAAATCAGAAAAGAAAGAAGGATCATATTCTATCTAGTATTAGGCCCTGAAACATACTTTATGCCCGCCCTGTCTAGCATACCAAACGTACCCGGAGGAGGAAAAAAGAAATTGAAAGCTTCCATGTGTTGTCTCTTTGCATGTCTGAAATCTGGTCTTGTGTGGAACTTGTTGTGCAGTATCATTCTAACCGGCGGTAGCACATCATTTCCAGGTTTTGCCAAAAGACTGTAAGTTTCACCTCGCCTGCCTCATGTTTGAATCCGTTCCTCAAGTTCATTGGACCTAAAGTTTTATTCGGTTTTTTTGGCTGCAGAGAAAATGAGCTACGCCCTCTTGTTCCAGATGTGTACCAAGTGAAAATAACAACCCAAGAAGAGTAATAATACCGTTTTTCTGCAAAATGTCGCTGCTTTTCAGTGGTTACCCACCAAAGAAAACTTATTTCAAAAACTTGTTTTGTGTTTGCAGCCCCATATTGGGTGTCTGGCGAGGGGGATCCTTGTTGGCGTCTAGTCCGGATTTCGATGCCATGTGTGTCACCAAGACTGAGTATGAAGAGCTTGGGTCTTCTCGTTGTCGCAGGCGATTCTTTCATTAATTAGTTCATATTTGGAAGGTACTTTTGACTGATCTTTCTTAAGCCTTGTTTTTATGAACATTTTCAATTCAGATTTCATTTCTATAGTATGAGAGGAAATTAAGATGGATGAAACAGAAAGTTGGAAGTTGGATCCAATGAAATAAAAAATGTGCCACGAACTTTAGACGGGAACGGGAACGGGAACGGGAACGGGAACGGGAACGGGAACGGGAACGGGAACGGGAACGGGAACGGGAACGGAAACTACACAAGATTAAATTTCGGCAATATTTATGGAAATAAACATAAATAACAGAATGAAATAGAAACAAAAACATGAATTTTTTTTTAACATTTTTGATATGTTGTGGTTCAAGAATACTTTTGTCCAGAACTTGACGACCCGTATGGATGAATAAACAAGCAACCTTAGTTGAGTGATGATGTTTGAATGGGAGTATGTTGTAAAGAACCATCCTGTAGCTCCTTAAGTTTCAAACAAACAGCCACTTAGTTGATGCAAGAAACAGAGGTGGGTCCCACACAAACCTAGAGTAAGGGGCCGTTTATCAAATTTTTTATTATGGATAAATTTATCTGTCCAGATAAATTTGTCTGTCTGGATAAGTGGGTGATGTTGTTTACTTTTTTTATTTGAACCAACAGTCTGAATTACATAAAAGACCGATTTACCCTCCAATATTAATTATTTGAACATCAAAACAAAAAAATCATAAAGAGGCCGAAGATGGGGTGTCTCATATGGGAAGGATGCGGTGCTTTAAATAAGGGGTAGGGGTGWCATTTTTGTGGCTGAATGGGGACAACACACCATTTCTATCTATGCGATTAAGTCATGTTCTGTGCAAATAAGCCGTAAGTAAACAACCCAAATGAGCTATGCGAATAAGCCTAATTAAGCCGCAAGTAAACAACCCCTAAGAAAACTATATGAACAAAATAAAAAGACTTGGTTCCCCTTTATAAACTGGTGTTTATTTTTCATTTTAGGATTAAGTGCCCATCATGTTGATTGAAATGCCATAGACTGTGATCTTGAATTATATGAATCATTTTCAAGATTTCAAGAACTTGATTCTGTTCCATTTCTTGTGCTGAAACCAGCAGGAAAAGATTGAAAACCCCCATAGATGAACCAAGTACGCAGAGGAAAATATTGCCGAAATTTAAGCAGTTCACTTTTCTCTCGAGACTTTTGTCCAAAACTCGACTCTTGACAACATTTCAAAGACGGAAACGCAGGAAGGAGAGGAAATCGGGTGGTGGGTGTTGTATGCAACAAAATGGAAGATGACATCAAATTGCAACAAAATTAGGTTCTTTGCCAGCGTATTGTGTGCTTGAACCGTAACAAATAAACTCACACATCATCTTCACTTTTGGTGAGGTTTGAACCTCTAAACCTCCTAGGAGACTAAATGCTACGATACCGCTAGACCAAAGGCCATTTGGTGTGTAAACTAGATTTTGATTGTAACATGGTATCAAACGTTTCGGTACTTGTATATCGTCTCTATTTTTCTATGATTTCATTGATGTCTTAGCCTAGATTAGAAATCATATCATTGATTTTTAATCAAACCTAACTGGAAATCTATCACAACTCTGTTTGTATTTTGCTACTTGTTCGTCCACTTGGCAAATGGTTTCTAACACCCCTTTTATTTTGTAAACTGATTTGCAACCTATAACAAGGGTTGGTAGAAGCTTCTAATGGGTGATCATCTTGAGATAAGAGAGTATCATAACAATGATAAACACGAAAATCAGAGGGAGTGTTCACACCTGTTTTCAGGTTACATCTGTATGAAGTCTGCTAGCTAATGTTGCCATTCATAGATGGATGTCAAAAACACATTTCACAATGGTGATCTCTCTTAAGGCATTTCTCACCAAAAGGGTTTTGCATGCAGGCTGTTGCAAGGCACTTTGAGGTCTCAAACAAGCATCTCGTGCATAGCTTGAAAAATTCAGCACTATAGTTCTTTCACTGGCTTTTGTTATAGTTGTTATCACTCCATACTCTTTACGCACACCATTGAAACAAGTACCATTGAACTTCTCATATATCTACGCTCGTTATTCGGCACTATAGCTCATTCTTGACCTGTTTCGTGATCTTTCTTCCAACTTCAGTCTCTCTCATTCTTTCCCGTCTTGAGTTTAGGGGTTTCTTTTTGGGGGATTTAGAATTTTTGGCCTCTTATGTATTTTGCCATACTTCAAGGACCAGTTATGTCTTTATGTATATCTTAATATATATTCTATTTTCTTTTTCTTCTTTCTTTGTACTTGAGATGATTTCATAATAAAACATTGTTTCCAAGCTTTCTTCTTTCATTCCCATTATATATCAATTTGACTCGTTTCTAATGTGCTATTTGACAACTCCATAAATCATTTGGTATTAGAATAATGAACATGTTTTATGTAATTTAATGTCAAATCAAATATGGTTATTAAAAAAAAAATTCTAAATCAACAGTTTGAATGATGTAAAACTGTCATTTTACCTCTAGTTTTGTTCAAATTATTATAGTAACATTGTTTTTTCTAGAATTACACTAAGAATTTTATAGTACTTCTCGTTCAGTGGTCCTCATTCGTTTTTATAACAATCCAAAAAGAATAATAATGTTGTAATAATCCTTCTTTTTCAAATATATATATATATATATATATATATATAGGTTCAAACGAGAACACCTTCATTCTACGAGAACGCAAGAACATCTTTATCACATGGGATAATACATATATATACATATACATATACATATATATATATATATACATATATATATATAGGGGTTGGTTCAAATGTTAACCAAGATTATTGTGTTAACTTTATTAACCAATTTTGGCCACTGATTTTTACAATAAATGGTTGTGATTAATCATGATAAAAAATTAAATTTTTAAATTTACAATTTCAAAAAACATACGTGAACAAAGGGGAAAAGGGTATTTAGGTAATTTTCTTTTTTATGTAACTCCCATATCATTAATTAGGAGTTACAAAATCAAAAAATCTCATTATTTTTATTAATTTAATTTGTTAATGTAAGAACTATATGAACACACACACACACACACTTTTATATATATATATATATACATATATATATATACATACATATATATATACATATATATATATAYATGAACCATTGTGTCAAATACGAACAAAAATTGACATATATATGAACTTGGACTGTATAGTATTTATGAACACAAATGAATATAATAAGAATAGTTGCTACACGAAAGTAAATAAATAAAAAAACATGTATGAATACAATATGAACAGTTTGTGAACAATTGTTTCTTCATTATGAATACATTCAGGCAAGCCAATAATGAGATATACAGCTAATGTACATATGAACACAATATGAACAGTTTGTGAACAATAGTTCTTTCATTATGAACACATTCAGAAGCAAGCCAATGTTGAGATATGCAGCTAGTGTACATATGAACACAATATGAACACTTGTGAACAATTCTTTAACTATTACATATGAATTCGAATTCCGATTGTAGTCGTAGACGATTTTAACCTTTTTCATTCTCATTGTTGTCGATCTGTTTTCCAATAGGTTTATCCATATTACTCGGACGATATCGAAATCTTTACAATCGAAAATTCTTTAACAATTACAAAATCAATATCATTATGGATAGAATAAATCGAAATTACAAAACATGAACACGTATAAAAAATACCAATAATACATAATCATCAATTATTGAGATTTTTATATTTGTAACTCCCAATTAATAATTTGGTAGTTATATAAATGACAAATTACTTAATTACCCTTGTCATTAATATATAAGTTATATATGTGAACTTAAAGAAAATATGGAATATAATTAGTTGAGTTTGGTTAACAAAGTTAACACAAAAATCTTGGTTAGTATTTGAACCAACCCCGATATATATATATATATATATATATATATATATATATATATATATCTCTAAAACACAAATTGAAAAGTAGGCAAGAAAAATTGAAAAATTGAAAAATTATTAGAGAATGAGTGCAGGAATAATGATTGTACCATAATCAGCCGAGGAACCACTTCCATTTGTTACATCTTATGAAAAACTAATTCAAGAAAGCAAAGTGTTTGATTAGAAAAGAAAAAGGAAAACCCTTTGAAAAAAAAAGATTCCTTCTTCCATTAATTAGCATTTGTTAAATTGACAAACCAGATGAAAAAGGGGTCTTTGATCTTGCCCTCCATATACCTGACCATTCTCACCCCCCTTCTTCCCCCACTTCATTAAACCCATCTCATCTCATTTTCATTTTCTCTCTCTCTGTTTCTCCAGGTGGGGTTTTCATCACATTTCTGATTTCTTTAGTTCCTCAATTCAATTATTGGTGACCCATTAGTTGTTCAAAAAGGGGGAAGCATCTTTCCTTCTCTCTCTCTTTAAGTTTTGAAGGCAATTGTTGAGTTTTTGTTTTGTATATACTCAATTTGGAGTGATACCCAGTTCGATTTCAACACCCATGTAGCGATTTTCTTTGTTTTTTCACTTGAAAATAACTCGATTTCCCCCCAATTGTTTCTTGTGTTCTTGATTGTTTGTTCGAGATGCCAAGGCCTGGGCCAAGACCATTTGAATGTGTGAAGAGATCTTGGCACAGTGATAGGCATCAACCAATTAGAGGTTCCATCATACAACAGATTTTTAGGTAAACTTTGTTCGGAAATAAGAAAACTCTTAAGTTTTGATTTCTTTAGGTGTTTATTGGGTTTTTGAAATAATGCACACCATGTGTTTGATCAGGGTCGTACAAGAAAACCATGCCCTTGGTACTAAAAAGAACAGAGAATGGCAAGAGAAGCTTCCCCTGGTTGTGTTCAAATCCGAAGAAATCATGTACTCCAAAGCCAATTCTGAGGTACCCATCTTCATTTTTGTAGTAAAAACATGTTTTTTTTTTAATTCAGTTTTCTAAATCCTGTTATTGCAATTAGGCCGAGTACGTAGACCCAGAAACATTGTGGGATCGTTTGAATGATGCCATTGATACCATAATCAGGAAAGATGAGAGCATGGAAACTGGTGAACTCTTACCCCCTTGTGTTGAAGGTAACACCATTTTCACATTCTTGAAAACTTTTAAACCAATCTTTGTTTTGTTGTATATAATCTTTTCTATTCTATTTTGGAAGTCGAATTTGTGTTTATAGTTGGTATTTGTATTTCTGTGGTGTTCAGCTGCCCTTAATTTGGGCTGTGTCCCTGTAAGATCATCAAGAAGCCAAAGAAACAGTAATACCAGAAGCTATCTAACCCCAAGAAACCAAGATTCTGGTCCCACACCAGCTAGAACCATGCCCACTGCTACAAATGCTCGAAATCTTAACGTCCCAAATGTTCAGAGACCCGATGGCATGGATTGGACACATACATTTTCAGAATCTAATAAGGATTTAAGACCGAATTTTAAGGTTACCCCTTCTGGTTCCTCCTTTTATCCCCCCTCATTTGAAAATTTGCCAAGAAAAATGGTGTCTTTTGAGAATAGAGCTTCTTCGAGTTATCCGTTATACCATGGTTTCCATTTTCAACCACGAGTACCCCAGATGGGATTTTGCAGTACTCACCACAACTCCAACAATATAATTGTTGGCACCCCGGTTTTCCAGCCTTCTTTTCAAAAAGGTTGTTCTGAAAGATTGTTCACGTTTGATAGAGATGACAACGGTTCAAAGAAAGAAACTCGACCCGAATTGGCAGAATGTGACTTGTCTCTCAGGTTGGGTCTTGTTTCAAGTAATGGAAAAGAGTCGACTTGTGTCGATGATGTTGACTCGGGTTCAGGAAGTAAAGAATTCTCTTTCTTTCCTTTGAATTCAGAGGCTGAAGAAGTTCAGGATTTGGTGACGGGTGTTAGGAAGCGAAAGACAGTAGGGGAACCGCAGCAGTTTTTGCAATTAGATCCTGATTTCAACCAGATAAAAGAACGAATGAAAAGGCGAGGTTTGTAGATATCGAATTAGTTTTGTTTCCTTATGCAATTCTTTGAAATGAAAAAGAGAAAGAAATCTTCAACCATTCATTGTTGTTTATAAGTTTCAAGATTCAAATTCCGCATTTTTCGGAGATTTGCATTTGTTTTATGCAAATCTCAACTGGTTTTCTTGGTTTAGATTAGCAGAGATTCATAATAGAGAGTTTCATACGGTTATGATCTAAATTTGGTGTCTTTTTCTTTTGGTGGGGTGGGTGATGTTGGTGTTATGGGTGGTGAGGATTGTCATTCATTTCATGCTGTCCATTTCTTAGCACATATCGCATTCGGGTCCGTCTCATGCATCTTCTCGCTGTATCTAATGCATAAAAATCCAAACCCGTTTGGTTGAATGTGACAAAACACGAGGCTGGAATATGCGCTACGTTCTTGACTTGAAATGATGCATCATATCTTTAACTCCACTAGGCTTTTTATGTGTACTGTTGGTGGGATATACCGAGAGTGTTTGATTTGGTTTGGTTTTACTGTATGGGATTATGACAATTGGGGTTGGAATTCATGTCGTGGTTTTCATCAAAACATATGATTTGTTATATTTTTGAGTAAAACTAAACCAAACGATATTATTATATCTCATCTGGAGATGGGGTCTGAGGGTGGTATGTATAAAGAATTGTAGATCTGACATCTGTCTTCAAAAAGTAGAGCGATTGTTTCTATAAAGATATATTTACCATCAGTGGATGTAAATACACATTATGGGTAGCCAACTAGCCATTGATGATGTTATCAGAAGTGAGGTTGGGTGGGCTAGTGGTGTGGGGTTGGACCTATGGGTTCACATCGAATTAGATCTATCAGGGTCTGGCCCTGGTCTTTTATGGGACGGATTGGTCCCTCTGGGCGCTGGTTTTAATGGAGAAAGGCCAAGTTTAACATGGGGGTGGCCTGGTCCGGCCCTGACCCTCGTGGCGAGGAAGAGTTAGAACATTTCAGGTAGGTAGGTCGGTCGGATTGTCTGGACCGGGTTAGGCGTTATTTCTTTCTGAGTAAACTACGTTTTTTCGTCTGTATGGTTTGTCAAGAATTGCTACTTTCGTTCCTATGTTTCCAAAATTATGTTGATCGTCCCTATAGTTCGCAAATTGTTGTTTATTTTCTTCCTCTGTTAAAAAATTTCTTAGTCGGGACATTTTTGGTATTTTAACTCTTCTTAAAAAATATTCTTTATTTTTAATTAAATAATCTATTATATCATTTTATATTATATATGTTATATAAAAGCAAAAGAGAGAACTTTCATATGTTGAGTAATTAAAAAACTGAATAATTTTTTTGAACGAATAAATCTTTGGACCTTATTAAATCTATTAAATAGATCTTTATAACCTACAAAACTGGTTAATATGATAAAACAATAAGAAAAAACCTAACAAACTTTTATATTTCAAGTGATTAAATCCGTGAATATTGTTTTGAAGAAAAAATCCTAACATGTATAAAATGCAAGATATCGTTTGTTGGTCCCTTGAGGGTCTACAAGAATAGTAAAACAGTTTGTAGAATGGGGGGATGAATACAAACACAATATTTTCAAATTTAAAATATATATTGATATAGAAGATCAAACAGATTTTACAATATTGTTTACGGAAAGATAATGTAATAAAAACCTATCTAAACAATCTTTGGTTACACACGAGTTCTTAGCAAACAAGAAAAGAAATGTTGTAAAGAAAAGATCATTTGCTTAAGCTAGAAAATGCTTGAGGTAAGAATTATGTTTAGAAAGTGGGTTGCGCGCACTCTGCATGGAGAAGAAACCTAAGGTTGGTGGACAATAGTCGACTAGTCGGATCCGTACTATACCAACGTTTATAAGGGTATGAGTTTGTCCTTTGTGTGCATAAGGACAAGACAACAACAATCGTGCTAAGCAAACTTCCTTTGATCGCTGAATGTTGGAATGACCTGAAGGTCTCTTCATCATTCGCTGAGGCTTGAGCAGTCTTCACACATATGTAGACGAGCTTGTAATCACTGAGTACCGCTTCAGATCACGTACTCGCCAGTCTTTAATCTTCAGTTTCAGTCTTCGACATTAGCTGAAAGTTCTTTGGTGTGAGTGTTGTCTTCTTGAAGTATCGCTGTCTCTGATTGATTTACAATACAAGTTCTTCAGCGATCACTGAACAGACTCAGTGAAGATCGCTGTAACTGAAAAGACAGAAACATGAATACAACGTATAAGTGAAAAGAGATTATTATCAAATCACTGAAAGAGAGGATCAACATCGTTCTTCCTCCAATCCGTTACATTCATGTAGAAATCGTCCTTTACTTAATATATCGTTAATGATGTTCAAAGACGACCCAAAACAAATGATCATCCAAAAGGAAATGTTATCTCACCACATTGGTTCCTAAATGTTGTGTTGCCCCCAATCGACATTGACAACAATGAGTTTACATCGACATGGGCTAGGTTTTAGGTTGGAGATGGAATGTGATGGGGCTAAGTAGGGGGCAACATGGGAAGGATTACGGTTGATTTAGGATTTTGGGTTTTCTTTAAACTTCTATCTTTAACCCTATTTTGACCAGTTATGCAAGTTAACAGTTACTATAATTTCCAGTGATTTATTTGTTCCAAAATATTGTTTAAGAACTTAATCATTCAAAATTTAAAAGTTTATTGGGTTTTTCCAAAACAAAAATCCTCCTAGCTATCTTTCATTTTTTGATATTCCGTCACTGGTGAAACAATACCTTACAACAAAACCTTGATTCAAGCGCCGCCCCCTATGTTTCCTGCAAGAAACAAAACCTTCTGGTAGGGTTGTAAATGAACCAAATGTTCAACAAATCGTTCGACGGGAAGGGTTGTACGAAATCACATTCAAAATTTTGTGAAGCGTATAATAATTTTGTAGTGGTGATATGAACGGTATGGATGAAAATGTAGACACCATGTTTGCTTGTTCAACTTCCCGCATTATGGTTGAACAAAATTTCATTGTTCATAAGCGAATATATTTCCATAAGTATACAATGTTCATTATATGTTAACATATGAAAAGATGAAACAACCAAGTGAACTTTTGTGAACGTATGTGAACATCCAAGCAATGCACATAATACACATGAACATATATGAACATAGAAAGGCAGTTGAAATATTTTAATCATATTGTTTATAAGTGAACCCATGTTCATATAGAAGGGGAGATGTCCATGTGTATATAATGTTCATAAGGACGGAGATTTTTTTTATTAGATACAATAGATTAATACACATGGGCAATTACAAAAACATCCACATCTTTATAATTTTTTTTTCAATAACACCCTTGTTCGTATATGTTCTTCTTAGATGGTAACATATTATATTATTAGTCATTACAAAATTGTCATCATAAATGTCATCCATAGATTTACAAGATGAATGGTTGTGATGGGTTCACAAAGTTAATACCATAAATTGGGTTATCATTTGATTAGACTCATATATATATAGGGGTCTAATCAAATGAGAATTGTTTTATTTGTGATAACCGTGAGATCCAATCTCCACCACAAATCAAATGTTAAGTTAGAAAATTAATAATTTTGGTAATTTTAACTTCAAATATTAATTAAGGGCATTTTAGGGATTTTATAAACATCCTCTCTCATCTCTTCTCTTTCCTCTCTCCGACAAATCTTACTCGAAGAACCTTATTCCGATTAACCTTATGTGAACACAAGATATACACTTTGATACCTACAAACGATATTCACTGTGATACTCAGATATACGTATAAGATGTACAATGTGATACCTTTTGTAAAGCAATAAAAATAACGAAAATGTACACTACAATACATTTCATAAAACTAGGGGTGCACGCGGGTTGTGTTGGGCGGTTTACAACATTTTTACAACTCAACCCAATTATGACGGTTTGGAAAAATCTTAACCCAACCCAACTCATTTAAAAGTATAACCCAACCCAACCCAACCCAACCCTTGCGGGTTGAGGCGGGTTGGGTTGGGTTGGCGGGTTAATAGTTACATAAATTTGACGAATGAAATAATTCATAAAACTTAAGTTTATAGACCATACTATAAAGCGTCATATCTAAAATGGTTACAATAGGTTTACATAACGTTTTTTGATGCTTCAACAAGTGTTTTAGAATAATCTTTAAATAAAATGTCGTATTAATTATTTTATATAAATATTTTGAGAAGTGTCCCTAAAACTCATCTATTTATAGGACATCTATGTTCATATACACTTTTCAAGTCGTGTTTTATAAAATAACTAATATGATACTTTATTTTAAAAGCGTCTGTTAGCTCTCATTTCATTAAATGTAAAAGTATGGAAAAAGTAATACTGCAAGTGTTGACAGAAGATGATCT